GAACTCTTTGAATTAATTTCAGAGATAATCTAAGTTTATATACAAATTTACTTCCATATATTAGTGTTAAAATACTGCATCCCGTAAGAAAAGAGAAAGTTTCCTATCTTACTCCACACTGGGGATGCTATAAGAAACTTCCATAGACAGAGTGGCTTATAAACATCAGAAATTTATTTCTGACAGCTTGGGAGGTGGGAAGTCCAAGATCAACGCAATAGCAGATCAGTGTCTGGTTAGAGCCCTCTACAAGTTAGCACATTCTCACTATGTCCTCCTGTGATAGAAGCTCTCTAGGCCTTCTTCACCAGTTCAGTAATCAGATTCATCAGGGCTCCACCCATATGACCTAATCACATCCTGCTGTGGTTCTTGACTACACAGGAGCCTAAGATACTAATCACATCCTGATTACCCCCCCCCCCACCTCCTAATTCCATCACCTTGGAGTTAGGATCGCAATGTATAAATCTTGGGACATGCAAACATTCAGGACACACAAAGCTCTTCTCAAATAGTATAAATATTTGGTCCCTCCCCAAAAAGGTCCTCTCCTCAAATATACCTGATAAGCATTAACAGAAGCACTTAGGCTTACATTCTTTACTTATATTAAAACCCAGGTCATACTGGGAAAGATGAAACTGTGGCATAAATTCCCAGAAAGGAGATCTAATAAGTTTGTTTTTACAGTAGCTCTCAACAGAATGATGAGTTTTATCTTAGTGGCCTTTTTAGAGTAACAGAGAATAAAGGAGAAAAGTAAGACAGTTTTTTAAAAAAGTTTATGACTCAGTTAAGTGAATAAAAATTGTTTTGTTAGGCAAAATCAAGAAACATTGAGAATTTGGGATGACACTATCTTTGATTATGTATTTTCAATATAAAATACATAATATGCAAATTTAAACCATGATGTGTAAACAAAAATAAGAATGTAAACAGATAACTGACTAAATAAACCATCTAAGGCATGGTACGACAATTAAGAAAATATATTCAACTGATTATTGATAACTACAGTGTGTCGTTAATGTATTCTATAAAGTTGCTGAGAACAGTGAATTAGCAGATTGATTCATTGCTCCCAGAAAATTATAGTGTTAGGTTTTTATAAGATTCTAGTCATAAAATTTTTATCAACCAATCAGTACATAGCCTTGTTTTATGTGTGTTTCTATTTAAGGACACCTTAATATACTGGCAATTCATAAACACTAAACTCACAGCCAACAACGCTATGACTCATTCCTGAGTGAGGCTTATCTAACACACATTTTCCCAGTAAAGCACATCACAGCTGGTAATATCCATGTTAGGTGCTCTATGTGTGACTTTAAATGATCCAAAAAGCATGATGAATATTTATTTTTGGCTTGCACAAATTTTACTGAATAGGCAAATTTGCAAATAAAATCAAGTGTACATGAATTTTAGTGCTAGCTGGTGTGATACTTGGTCAATGGCTTAAGCTCAGTTTCTATATTTAGATTTAGGCAACTCTAAATCCTTATCAGTTTCAGATTTAGGAGGACTCAGGATCTCCTGCCTAAATTCAGTCACACAGCCTACCCAGTTCTCTAAATCTAACTTATCTGTCTAGGATTGTGTCCTTCTTCATAGAAACCTATATACTTTTGATACTGAAAGGAGATCTTAATTTCCATCCACGAGACTTCATTAATTTTCATTCAAACACCTACATATATCTATCCATCTGTTCTATTATCAACTATTAATCTTGAAGTCATTAGTGCTGGAGAGATAGGCATCAGCAACAGGTAAAATCCTTATCCTTTGGTGATCAATCATATTTTAGTGAGACCATCACTAATACCATAACCTTGGGAATTAGGATCTCAAAGTATAAATTTCAGGGCATGCAAACATTCAGGCCAAAGCACTTTTCAAATAGTATAAATATTTGGTCCCTCCAAAAAGGTCCTCTTCTCAAAGATGCCCGAAATTCATTAACAAAGATATTTAGGCTTATGTTCTTTACTTATATTAAAATCCAGGTCATACTGGGAAAGATGAAACTGTGGCATAAATTCCCAAAAAGGTATGAACTAAGGAGAAAGATATTCTACCCAGAATGTCACCATTGAGATCCTAACTCCCAAGGTGATAGTATTAGGAGGTAGGAGTAATTTAATTTTCTATTAAGCCAATATTAAAGTTCAGTTCCTGTAACTAATAATGAACATATAAACATATAAATGAACATATAAACATGTAAACAAACAGATTCATGGCATAAATTCCAGTTGTTGTAAATATAATGAAATAAAAGAGTGATGGTTTAAAAACTGTAGGGTAAGAAAATGTTTTAAAGCATTGTGTGCAAGTAGTTTTAAAGAAGGCAATACACCAGGCACAGTAGTGCAGGCCTGTAATCTCAGCAACTCAGGAGGCTGGATGCAGAAGGATCCCAACTTCAAGACCAGCCTCAGCAACTTAGTGAGGCCCTAAGCAACTTGGTGAGACTCTATCTCAAAAACAAAAACAACAATAACAAAAAAATTAAAAGTGCTGGGTGTGAGGCTAAGTGGTAACATGCTTCCATGTTCAATCCCCAGTATCAAAAAAAAAAGCAATAAACAGAGATCTGAATGATGTGAGGAAGGAATAAGAGCAAAGATCTAGAGGTAGGTAAATATCAGTGTCAAATGCCATGACATAGGAAGGTCCTGGATGCTAGCTGACATAGGAAGAGAAAGAAGGATATTAAAGACTGAATTGCAGAGTGTCTTACTCCATAATTGAGTCTGGATTTTACTCTAGGTTTGATGTAAACCAGGAAGGTGATTGTAAGTAACGTCACCATCCACCTTAACTTGCAACAGCGTCATTCTGGCCATTCTATAGAGAACAGGGCAGGTAGGGAAAGAGTTGAGACCTGAGGTGCTCAGCAAGAGTTCCAAAAGAAGAGGTGAGGACAAGGACAGGGTGGCAGCCAGAAACTGTTATGAAGTCATGATGTATGTGCATAATTTGAAGACAAAGCTAATGAAATATGCTCAGAGCCTCACGAGGAGGCTTAAGGGAAAAAAAGTAGAATTAAGGATATTCTGTAGGTAAATGGTGACACCAAATGCTGAGGTAGAACTCAGGTGAGTTGAGGAAGAGTGGTTGTAATGAGGATGATAAAAGTTTGGTATGGTTACGCATTGAAATATGCCCAGTATCTAAGTGAAACAGGCAGAAACATAAGGGATATATGGCAAAATGAAGAAAGGACAGGAAACTGTAGAAAACAAAAGGTATTATCAGTCAGACTATTACCTGACTTTTCTCAATCCCAAAGCATAAGTAATCATGTATTCATTTAATTGGCCAACAAGTATTAAGTGACATGTCAGGAACAGCCTAGTTGCAAATGCTTCCTATTTGTCCATAACCTATCCTGTTTTTGAAGAATATCACTGTTATTGCATTGATACATAAAAAAATAAAATAAAAGCACAGACAGCCAAGCCAGTAATTTCATCTTTCCTTGTTCTTAGGTGCATGGGATGAATGCCTTGTCTGACATCATTTCTGTAATGAGAGAATTCCATAACCAAACCAGTTATATATTGAAAGACAGCTAATGTCTTAATTCTTGAAATATCCCAAAATACACGTAATTATCTACCATTGGGTAGATAATTTTTCAATAATCAGTTCCAGTCTGAATTGCAGGTGAAAATCTTTCATTCCATCTTAGTTCCTTGTTAACTAGTCTATCTAAATAATATTTGCACTCCTATGTGTCCATGAAATAACAAAATTCAAATGTGAGTCAGATAATTTCAGAACCAAGATTTCCAAAAATGGAAAGTAGTTTTGAGCATAAAATACAACATCCTGATCAAAGCAGAGACAGGTTTTTTTTCATGTTGAGAAATATATCTAGGAAACTAAATGACACATGGAAGGGGAAGAAGATAGAGAAAAGTACAAAAGAAATACAGAACGCCAGCTTACAGAGTGTGTGTGAAGATCTCTGGGCTTATGAAAATGTCTAGATTCCCCTGAGGCTCCTGTTATAGATCCACAGCCTGGACCCTGATTATTGCCCTTGGTGGCAAGAGCAACCTAGCTGTTGATAGACGGGGCCCTTTACTGCCTTTTGACAACTTACACAGTAAATCAAGCTTCTGATCAGCGTAGAGAGAATCTTCAATCATGGCATCCAGATCCAGCACCATCTCATTGTTCGTCTTCACTTCTTCGCCTTGGCCTCTATTTCTCAAGTGACTATTTGATTCAAACATGCTCTAGAGTCCCTGGAAAACTCCCCCATTTCTCATCTTCAAATCACTACTTCAGTTTCTCTTGTTCCACAAAACATTACACTTTAACCAGCTTGGGCCTAGTCATTTGAGACCCTGACTTTGATCCAGAATTCTGATTCATCTTTAGTTTATTCTACCCCTTCATCTAATAATAAAATGGTGCCTCTGATCTTCCTGACAAATATTTTTGATGAAGTTGAAAACTCCTAAGAACACTTGAATTTCTATATTTGATGTAAACAATGATCTGTGTTAACAGGT